CGGATCGCCAGAATCACACCAACATGAAGTAAACGAGGTCAACAAAACTGCTTTACTTTTATGACCCAAAGGTGTTTTAGACAGATCTACAGGAAATTGGTCTAAATTCCTATCTCTATGTGTCAAATTTCTCTATTATGAATATTCATTTTCTAGAAAAACTGAATATAGTCTGAAAGATAATTACTAAATAGGTCACTTTAGGTATAGATTGTCTGAAATGCAAATCTAAGTTTTTATGTAACATAATCTTTATATGTTTAAAAAGTCTGAATGATAAAACAAGTTAGTGTTTTTGACATGTTTGGTGTTTAATTAGGCTGCAGAATGTTGTTCCACTGAAACGGATTCTCATTGTTTCCACTAGTTATGTCATTTTAAATATTCCCAATGTTAAATCTACCTGTGATTGGTTAATGAGGCAAGTTCAGTTACAGAGAATCAGAGAGCCCATCCTAAAGCCTCTCTGACCAGAACCTACCCCGACCAGATCAACCAGTTGGATTTGATTTTAATAAAGGCTTTTAGTTGCATCATATACTTTGTCAGCTTTATCTAAATATTGTGTTCTTGCAACATTTTAAATATGTTTTTTCTTCCATGTCTTTATCAATCAATCAAAAAATGTCATTATGAAAAATCGGAATTCAGATTTAGGGATAAATTAAGATTTAAAGAAACTGGAATTAAACGGAAAAGACATTCAGTCTGAACGACCCGGCCTCCGATGGGAACAATAGCAACTCAACCAAGATAGAAGACCTGTGGTTGGAGCCTTAAACCTGGTGCCATCTAATTGGTGGGATTATGGATCACAGTTATTACGCTCTTTACCACTCAATGCAGGGATGCTGGTGTAGAATGCAGAAAGTTTAGAGATTGTTCTGAAACATTTAATCAATCCTCCTGAATGCCGATAAATGCAACAATTGGAAATATATGGGAAGGAAAGAAGTCACCCTAGGCTAATTTTTAAATACATAAAACTGATCTATTGATGAATATTAACACAGTTTAATGCATCGTAGCCAAGATCAGACTTGCAGCAGATGTTCTAACATGTATCAGTTACATTTATAAAGCAAGAACTAAATGAACAAGCCAAACACACAGTTTATTTATAAATTAAAAATATTACATATTTTTTCTTCTTTAGAAACATTGCTAGTTTAGATTGACTAATAATTTGAACCAAAACCTTTTTCAAAGCATTAATTGACACATTATATTGATCTGTAATGATTGTGAAATATTTCTAAATCAAGAAATACTATTTATCTTATTTTATATACTTCTATAGACAATTAACAGTTATGCTGAATGTAAAACAATAGAAAATGTCAAATGTTTTCTTTTAATTGTCTAATATTCAGCCTGAGTGTAAAACAACCACAGGTCAGTGGTCTTAACTTGAGAACATCAGCACTCGTGTGCACCTGAAATGTTTTCCTGTCTTTACGGTGTCACGAACGTGTAAAGCTGTGTTCAAACTGTGCAAGTAAAAGTTAAACGATATGTTTAAAAAGTTTACAGTTATGGTTACATATTTTTCCGCCTATTCTTTTTTTAAATAGATAAACAAAACACTGATCAATAATTATTGATATCGACTGATAATCAAGGACTCATCATAAATAATGTTTTAGCAATATTGCTCAGGGCTATCTATTAAAAACAAGGTTTGTTATTTTATTCTGCATTCATCAAATAGATTACCTGGTCTTGCTAAAATTGTTGCTCTTATGTGATTACTAAGCTCTTTGGTGCTGCCTGGAAATAAATGAATAAATAACGAAATATAACTTTTATTCAAAAAAGTGTTTTAAGTGTAACTGCTTATATCTCATGTGTTGTTTTTATTATTTTTTTTTACATATTTTTTTATTTTTACAATTTTTTTTTCAAATGTTGTCGATGGATTGTAAATATATATATATATATATATATATATATATATATATATATATATATATATATATATTTTTTTTTTTTTTTTTTAAGTTTTTAAGGTTAAGTTTAACGAATTGCTTTCTTTTTAAATTGTTTTACAGATCACATTCTCTTCAGATGCTTTTTTTTGCTCTCCTAAATCTTAGCAACATTTTCAATGGGATTAAAGAGAAGAGGCTTTGATCTATAAAGTACTATTTCAAAATTATGCATAAAAAGAGATACTTGGGGGGGAAAAAAGGAACCAAGCTGTGATGTTTATGTCCTGCTGGATTTTGGGCTGTGTCACTTCATATTTACCCCCCTGGAACCCAGATTACATTAATTTCTACTTAAACATTCCCAGAACTGAGTTTGCCAAAACTAAATAAAATAATAATAATTAATTTATATTTATTTTAGGGAAACTCTTAGAGTTGCAGCAATAATTTTGTTTATAAAAGTTGTTAATACCAGATCTTTAAAAAAAAACGATTCTAAAACTAAGATTTTCAGATATTTTTTTATGTGGAATTTATTATTTAACACATCCCTAACATATGTGAACACCTTTAGAGGACATTTTAATTTTAGATACTGCATTATTCTAATAAACTTTCATAAACTTAGCCTGATTAACTGGCGAGCGCTGATAGTAATTAACATTAATTCAGAATGTTTATGAATCATGTTTTTATTGATACTGTTTCTCACAGACAGATGCATTTACTCATCACTTTAATCAGCGGCCTCAGCCCAACAACACAGTGACTGTGATTCAGAACCAGATGTGCAGCAAATAACAGCAAAGCCAGTCTAGACTTCCTGTGAGTTTCACAGTAAACAAAGAGGGTCGAGGTTTGTGAGGAGTTGGAGAAATTCATGGATTCAGAAGCTCAGAGTCCTTCTCCACCTCTAAGGAATCCCTAGAAAAGAAAAAATGCCGCCTTCCAGCTCCCAGCACGCGGTCCGAACACCTTCAGGGAATCACAGCCTGTTTGGTTCACAAACAACAAAACAGCCACAGATGATTCATGGCGTCCCCCCCCACCTGCTGACACACGATCCCACTCACGCTGGAGTGATCGCATGCCTCGACACAGCAGGACCGTTCTTCCACATGTTTAACGCCGCACTTACGTCACCTTCTTTACAACCTGCGTGAATCAGGTCTTTTTCTGTGTGACAGAGAATCAGTTTGATTCTCATGGGCATCCTCTGATCTGGACTTTGCAGTTAGCGGACACAGTCCATCCGTTAACACCTGGCTGCATGATTAACACTGAACACAGTTACGTACTGCATTAATCAGGATTAACCCGAGTCAGAAAACGTCATTCAGACTAAAAACTGTGCTTCCTGCATGAACTTTCAACAATATGGTAAACTTTGCATTGTTCACAAGAACTTTTACCACTTTTTTTAAATTAATAACATAAGGCATTCCCCTCAAGCCAATCAGAACAGGAATGAATGTGCTGCAACAAGCCTGCCAGCAAAGCACATTAATAACACCACTTATCTGACTTGTCTCATTTGTTTTCTTTTCTCTTGTCCCGATGCTGAATAAACTAACCAGCTGTACAGACACGAGTGGCAGCCGTCCTGTCATGCATCTTTAGGTAATTAAAACAAATGCCGTAAGCACTTCCCCACCCACCGGACTGGTTCTGCAACATTTAGCCCCGGGGTGTTTAATATATGCAGCAACTTGCAAAAATCAAACACGCCCCTATGAGAGGCATGAGAGACGAGAATAACTGAAGCAGGAACATGTAGCACATGTCGTCTTCCAGTAAAAATGAAAAAAACCTTGAAATCTCAAAGCCAGACATGGAGACTTCCACTGATACTGAAGGACGATTATCAGCTCATTTACAGGATCTTCTAAAAGTATTCCCAGCCCTGGAACTTTCTCCTCATGCTGTGATGTAAAAACAGCAATCCTCTGTTTGTATTAGGGGGATTTTAACCTGACAGGCCAACAAAAAGAAAGGTAGAGAACAACAAAACCTTTTTTTTTTGGGGTTAGACCCCTTTAACTCTGATACCACAAATAAAATGCAAT